AGCTCTCGTGGCGTGGATCCACCTTATCCACCGCTGGTGCTGGACCTCCGGCAAACTTGGACCTCCTGTCCAGCCAGCGACCACACTGACCTGAAAGAGAGGGAGCATTTGGCAGAGGGGTTGCACACGGCCGTCGCTTGGGTGCGCAGGGGACAGCACAGGAGAGCGGTGTCCCAGCCACAGCTGGTGCTGCTGCGGGGATGGAACTGCAGCCAGGATGACCTGCCCAGGGCAATGAGTGCTCTACAGATCCGGGGAGGCACCATGGGGTGTCCCCACTCAAGGATACCATGGACATTGCAACTGCCTCATCCCATGGGTGCTGTGACCAAGAGTTTGCAGGACTTGAAGAGGAGAGGAGAAGGCAAGGTGGCATGGCTGGAGGACTCAGAGCCACAGCACCCACTGTCCCAACCCCAGCTGGCTTCAAACTCCCTTGGACTCCCTGGAGCAGTGGCTGGGCTGTAAGGAAGAGGTACTAAATCAAGGAGGATTTCATCACCCGTTCAGCACACAAGATCTCAGGCAGGAAGCAAGTGCTTTCAGAGATGTTAGGAATTCATTTCACGTGCACTACAAAAAAACCAACCCAACACTTGTCTTTCAGTGCTTTCGCTCGAGCCGTTCCCTGCTGAGCAGCATCCCTGGCAGCTGGCACTGTGGGCACAGGAAGGAAATGCCCTTGTGGGATGCAGGCAGGCTGGAGGACCTGCTGTTCCTGGCCAGATGGATGGAGGCTTGACAGCAGAGCTGGGCAGATGTGAAGAGTTTGGCAGGGGATGTAAATACCGTACTTGAAATCATTCACCATCTCATTTCCCACAGTGGGACTTACCGGTGCAGCTGTTAAAAAAAAAAAATATAGAAAGGCCAAAAAAACCCACTCCAACATTGGGACTTGTTATCATCACTGCTCCAGAGGATTACACATTTGCACATTTGTTAACAGCTCTGATTTCTAAGAGCTGCAAGCGCCGTGCCAGACTGTGGTCTGCCCCTGCTGAGCGGTGGCAGGGATTGGCAGGAAAGCTTTCCTTGTCCTGAGCAGTGTCCTCGGGAAGGAGCCAGCCCAAACCCTCCCTGGAGAGCACTGATCCCACTCTCCTTCTGCCCCGCAGGGGAGCTGCCTGCCAGAAAGAGGGTCTGGGGGAAGAGCTGCCCAAAACCTGGAGGGGGCTGGTCTGTGGGTCAGGAGCAGTGTGAGCGTCTCCTCGGGCTTCACGTCCAAACAGCCCCAAATCCCCCAAATCACTCCCATGAGGGTTTGTGCTGGACCCCACAATGCTTCTTGGTTTGTCTTGCACCCACCTGGCTCTAAGACTCGCTATACCTGCCTCATTTGGGAACAGCAGATCACATCCCACATTCATTTATCTGGGGTTTCCAAGTTTTGGTATTTGGCCAGAGCTTCCCTCCAACCTGCCCCAGCACCATCCTGCTCCTGCTCCCTGCACCAGCAGCCCCCAGGCTGGTCCCCCTCCCAGCAGGATATGGATGGCGCCTGAAGCCCCCCAGCACTGGGATGTCCCCTTCTCGGCGGATCCTGTCCCTTTCTCAGGGGATCCTGTTCCCACACAGCCCACCCTAAAGCACAAACGAACTGCCACTACCACCCAGCTCCACCAGTGCTGGATGGGAAGAGACTGAGCCTTGCCAAAACCTGACGATTTTTCACATCAGTGGGTAAAAAAACCCCAAACAACAAAGCTTTTGCTTCTTTTCTCCTCCTTTCCCAACACTTCTGATTTGGGGTTTTTGATTAAAAGTTCTACTCTCCCCCCCTGCCTTGAGCTGCCTCTGGGAGCCAGCCACTTGCAAATCTGCCCATAGCAGAAAACTTGCTTTTCTATTAAACCCAGTTTTGATGGGAAAAGTTTTAACATTAAATCAGTGTGTCTGGTGATGAGTGCAGAGAGCAGAGTGATGTTTAGGTGGGAAAACCTGTATGCTGCAGCCCCAAGGGATGGCTTCAGTATTGCTGGGGGAGAGGAAATAAAAATACATTAAGCAAGAGCCTGAAGAAGGAACAGGACAGAAAAGAGTTAGAGAAGAGCAGAGAGGCAGGAGTTAATACAAAAATAAGCAAATCAGGGAAGGGTTACACAAGAAGAGGCAAAGGGCAGGAGGATGGGAAGGAACACGCCTCATGTTTCAGGTCCCCTCTGGGCTGTGTGGTGCTGGTTTCAGGCATCGCCTGCAAACCCCCATCCCGTGAGTAATCCTCCCCCATGCGAACGGATTGCACTGATTTCAGTGGGATCACTTGGATGAGAGAGGGGAAAAAAAGAGGGAAAATAGGGAAAAAAAGCCTTCTTGATGAGTAAGATTTACAGAATCGGGCTCTTGGAGGACGGGCTGCAGAGCACAGAGCGCTCTTTTGGACACCACATAAATAAATAGTAATGCTGCTTCTTCCTTCCCTCATGAGGTAATGCCTCGGCACAGCTCGTCCAAAGCTGCCGTGGTTATTTTTACAGCCGTATCTGTCTGAGGTTGTCTCCTCTCTCCCCAAGCCAGGCTGCGGTGAGGGCTCTTCAGCACAAGTGTGAGCTGTGTCCCCATGGGCAGGCGTGATGTGCCCAAGGTTACAGAGTAGAGAAGCGGCGGAGGAGCCAGGAATCACCAGCCCTTGGTCCAGGACCTCACGAGGAGAAACCTTTGGCACTCCCTCCAACACGCCGTGGGGTAAATCCTCTCCGGGTGTAGGGATGTGCTTTCTGCCACTGGTCCCCAACTCTTTGTGGCAGCACAGGACCCCGCGTGTCAGGGACAACTGCCTTGAGCAGCAGCGCTCCAGCTCCTCGAGCGCCTGATCCCATTTTTACTTTTCTATCTTCCAGAAAACTCTCTGAATCAACAGCAACTCACCCCTCCTGGTGAGGGAGGCAGGAGGTGGTCTAAGAAGTGTCTGCAGATGTACATTTGCCATCCCTGTCCCGAAGGAACTGAACCAGTGCCAGTAATTAGGAGCAATTAAAGGCAATTTGCAGTTCCCTGGTCAGTGCGAACACTTGCAGCCAGCAATTACAGGCTCTTCTCCTTCCTCAGCCATGGAGTAGCTGGGCTGCTGGTGGTTAATGCTGATTTTTCTAGTACAGTTCAAATTCCTCTGGGTTGTACCCCAAACTGAAGAAAGACTGTGCTAGAATGGCAAAGGGGGAGTGATTGATGCAAACACTCCTTCGGCATCCTCACTGCCTTTCTGTCAGGAACCTTTTGGTTCACAAAACACGTGGTCAGTCATGCCTGGACTTCTCTGGGTACAAGTGTTTGCCCATCACCCATCATGATGCAGAATATCAGCAGTCCTCTGCACTGAGCAGAGCAGAGACCATAAGGCATCAGAGAAAACATCACTGATCAGGAAAGGAGGGTACCGGTACCTGGGATGTTTTTAGAGATAATAAGAGAGATAACAGCTGCTTTATCTTCTGGATCCTCAATGTCTTGCTTAAAAAGATCACTCCATAGAGGAGGATGCAATGGTGCAGTGGGTGAGATGTGAGAGGAGCAAACAGGAATGATGCTGGTGCAAGAAATTGGTCTGTCTTTGGTCTGTCAGATAGCAGAGCCAAGGGGAAGAAAAATATTCGTCACGATTTAGTTCTTTCAGAAAATCTTTAAGAAAAATATTTGATGAGTGTCTGTGGCAGAGATGACCAGGAATTACTAGTGAAAAAAATAAGTTCCTGCTTAAAAACCTGGCTGTGAAGGAGAAAACAAGGAGCAGAAGCACATGGTCAGGTTTTAATGGGGAATGAGGGTAGCAATGGGGGTGCCTCTGCCCACAAAAGCTGATTTTTCTTCTATAGTAGCCATGACCTGGAAAGCAGGGAGCTAACAGCATTTCTAGGTGGCCACCTTCAGCTTGGCTAGCCAAGATGTGAGAAGACCATGTAGGTCTTCTGCAGCACCTACCTACACTGGCCAAATGGGTGAGGGGACAGCAGAAAAAACCCAGTGTGTGGAAGGATGTGTAATTGGGAAGAGGGAACAGGATGGCTCATACATGCTGAAAGGTCCCAATTAACTGCAACCACTCCAGGAAAAGATCTAAGAGTCAATGAAACATCTGGCTGATTGCAACGGAGCTCAGAGAGCAAGTAGATAGCAGGTTGTATAATGAAAGGGGTAGAGAGTAACACTGAATGTAATCTCATGACACCATAGAAATCAATAGCATGTCCTCAGCTGGGAAACTGGAGTGAAAAGCATGGAGAGGCACCCATCTGAGGGCAACGGAAAAGATTGGAAATGCCTTGCCAAGAGATGATGGAGGGATGCCAAGTAATGCACAGCGCCGAGAAGGTCAGACAGGTGCTCCTCTTCACTGGTCCTTAAAATACAGGAACAAAGGGACATTCAATGCATTTAAAAGGCAACCTTTTTCAGTGATAAAAGGAAATGCTTCTTTGCACTGCACGTAATTAACTCATAGAACTCATGCTACGAGACACCATGGCAAAGGCCCAACAGGATTAGATAGGTCTATGAATGAGAACATCTGTAGTTACATTAGCTGGGATTAATATATAGACGGATATCAGCACTCCAAGCCAGCTACTAACTGCCTGCAGCTAGGAAGAGATTTCCCCTGGGGCTATGCTATTGCAAAACTGTCTGTCGAAGAGTTTTATCTCTCTGTCTGAAGCTTCCAAGACAAGCCACTATTATATGCATGAATCTGCTGAGACCATCGTCCGCTCAAGCATAGGCAACAGTACATTTCTGTGCTTCAGCTGAGATTTGGCTGGTTTGGGACTGAAAAACACCTGAAGGCAAATCTTAGGACCATGCATGAAAGGATGCAAAATGCCCTGGAAAAGTGGTTGAACTTGCTGGAATGTCTCTGGCCCACCAAACGTTGTCAAATAGCATGACAAAAATGCAAACATT